ATCTAGCCCTTCAAATATTAGCAATTACCAATTAGACCCCATAAAAAGCATTTATTCAACTTAATCCTTATTTGGCTTTGGCTTTGGCTTTGACTTTAACCAATTGAATTACTTGATTTTGACTAAATAATTTCTTTACTTTGACTATAAATAAGTATGATGTAACACGTAATGACACTTTCACTCATATTTTCTTGTACAATTGCATCAAATCCATGGGCAAGGACCTTCAGATATATGAAAACTCAAAATGATTTATTTTACTTGTATCTGTCAAGTGTGGTGAACGTGTCCATTGTGTGCTCTTAAAATAAATCCAAAAACGTTTTCTTGAAATGCAACTTTACTAGTGGGTACCTTGCATAAAATGAGAGCTTTGCTATATGTACACTCAGGTGTATGTCATGTGTGACATAATATACAAGTCATTGACATTTGGGCATTGAGCAGACGTCAATCCCATACATGGTCTTACGACTTTGTGAAGACCTTTTTTGGTAAATAGTCGTCCGGGCTTGGTCACTGTGATCCCCTTTGTGAGGAGGCATCCCTTCTCTTAACACCTCTCATTTTTATTCCTTTTTTCGACGAACAAAATGAATAATCAAAAGGTTGTCTTGTTCAAAACCCCAATTATAACATAACTCCGAAAGAACCACTTCATGAAGCCTATCGGATTCCACCGCCAATGACAAAATGCTATTTGTGCATTATGTCAAATAGGGTGTACACCTGAATATACAAGTAGAATAATCCCATAAGATGATGGCACCAATATTATTAAATGTACATCATGATTTATACACTAACTTACAAAATTTACATTTGGAATAATCTCACGTCACATTTCACATCTGACACATTTAATCCAACCCTTATAATACTTCCATATCATCAATCTGTTAAAAGAGGTGTACAAATAGTGTAATCCATGATGACACATGCCTGATGACTGGCTGTTGGATCTAGCTTCTGGATTCTTCTGTGAATTAAAATGCTTCATTTGGCTTTTGATTCATTCATTTGTTTACATTCTGGCGGTTTTGGTTTTGAGAAAAAAAAAAAAAAATCCATTTTAGGGTTTCTTCATCTCTCTCAAATCTCATTTGAGATACTCAAATTTTTACTCATATTATGTTTTAGGTTTGATTCTTCGTGAAATCAATAGAAGAAATATTGTTCATCATGTTGTAATATTCTGACTAGGGTTGGGTGTGGTTTGCTATGTTCTTGGTGTTCAGTAACTTGCTCGATTTGTTCAGAACTTTGAAAAAGATAAGTCTGTTGTGACTTGATCTTTTGTATTTCTTGAACATTTTATAACCTTGATTACCATTTTGGGTTGTTATAATGCAAATGAGTGTTAATTCCTGATTGCATCTGCATTCCATCTGTTTGTTTGTGGTTCTCAAAATTGTCGAGCGTAATTTTCTAAATGTTCATAATTTCTTGATATTTGTCTTCTTTAAAGTAACAACTGCTAAATTTGAATTGAATATGTTTGATGGGAGGGGATATTAATATGTGGGAACAAAAATTAAAGGCTATGTTGATGCAATAAAAATGTGTTACAACTTTAGATAATTATTGGCTTTCTGACATTAATTCCACCAATAGAACTGAACTCGAAAAAATTGTATGGAGTAATATTTTTTTCATTCGTCTGAAATATCATGAGAACCATTGGTGATACTAAAATAGCTGCAAAATTATGGACCAAACTTCAAGCTCCATATGCGACTAAAATTATTCCAAATAAATGTATTTAATGAAATAGTTCTTTTAAAATGGATTCTTTTGTTGATCACTTGAGAAAAAATTAAATAGATTTACCAAACTGACCCAAAATCTAGCAAATTATGATGAAAAACTTTCAAAAGATTAGTGATCCCGTTAAACTCCATTGGTGAAAGGCATAGAGATCTTAAGAAAGCTTTAATTGTATGTTCCAAAAAGTGGAAATGATAGCAGAGAGATATTACTAATTGGATGAGGTTGTTTAAGCACTATACAAAAGCAATGGCAGCTACAACGAAGTTTTGGGAAAATAGGATACAAACTATACGCAAGCAAATAATAAATATTTGTAATATGTAAATGAAAAACCATATGAAACCTGAAATCTAAATGACGTGGACCACAACCAAATAAGATGGATCCATTCTCTTGGTGTCCTAACTGAAACGAAAGAAAATTTATTTACATGAAGTCATCAATATCTAAACCCTCTGGAATTTCAAACTTTAAAAAGTCACTGCAGTTTTCATCTTCAGTGCTTCCATGAATATATGTTGATGAGGCTGAATTTAAAGGAGCTGGGCTTGATAGAGGCGTCGATGGAACTGAATTGAAACTCAAGTTTTCCAACAAATCTGTACCGATTTGCTCAGAAGCTGAATGGAAACTCTCTTGCACGCTTTGCATGAGATCTGTTTGGTCCAGTGAAGAATAGGGAAGATTGGATTGATTGCAAGGAAGGATCTGTTTATCAAACGCGTTTCCCAACTGATTAGATTGGAAAGTTGGGGTCTGGTTTTGCATCTGAGCATTCAATAATTGGTTTTCATGAAGTTTTTGTAATAAGAGTTGAGGGGTTTCGTAGTTTGATGCTAGAATATTTGCAGCAAGTCTTAGAGCTTCTGGCTTCAGAAGTGTTTGAAGGCGGAGTAGGTTCGATAGATTAACCAGATCAGAGGAGTTGAGAACTGACGAGGATAAGTCTAAAGGATCAAGGCGCGGAGCATGCGTCACGGGATCAATCCGCATACGAAGAAATCGTTTTCGTATATGAGTATTCCAATAATTCTTGATTTCATTATCAGTTCTTCCAGGTAACTTAGCTGCAATTGTAGACCACCTAAGACATGAAACAATAGAAATTTAAGATTTTCGACTTTATTTTCTGATACATACTAGAACTGTCCAATAATACAAAACAATTAAGTAAACCTACTTGTTACCAAGAACACTATGTAGTTGGATAATAGTTTCTTCTTCTTCAAATGAAAATCTCCCTCTTTTGATATCAGGTCTCAAGTAATTTATCCAGCGAAGCCGACAACTCTTTCCACATCTTTCAAGCCCTGAACACGATCATCTTTAATAAGTTAACTGATCATTGGACCAAAAAAATCTATAAATCAAGACAACATAAAAATACGTACCAGCATTCTTTGGAAGAGATCGCCAGTTTCCTGGACCATGCATTTGAATGTAATGAGTGAGCTTCATGTCTTCCTCTGGACTCCATGGACCCTTCTTAAAGCCATGTTTATCACAACATGGTGATCTTCCCATTGATGATATTGTAGTGTAGAAAACAAGAAATTAGAAAAGGGTTTGCGAACTTTTGCACTAAAAAGTGAAACTTTTATGTCCGAAAGGGCAGATGGAATGAATGCCTTTTATAGATGAGAAGGAAATGTGTTTTGAATAGGTTGAAGTCAATAGGATTTGGCGCCGCCCCCTCAGCCTAGCTATGTCAATGTCTCCATTGTGTGCATCAGTGAAATGTTAAGACAATTACAAGAAGTTTAAAATAAAATAGGTGACACCACAAACTTTTTAATGAATTTGTGGAATATATATTTATATTACTATTGTGTTCGTAATGTATATTTTACAATTGATATATTTTTATGGAGTATTTGGTATTTCGACTAAATTAGCTTCGAAGAATTTGAGAGTAAAATATATTCAAAAAAAAAAGGATAATTCTGAAATTTCATGATCAACTCTTAAGTTGAATTGATAAGCTAAGAGATAACGATTCAATTTTAGTGACAAATGGTAGCTAACTGAGCGTTTTGACCTTTCCAAAAAGTCTTGAAAAGAAGACTAAATTAGGTGGTATGGTTGTTACATCCTCAACCAATAAAGGAAATTATTTTTCGTTGTTTCATAGCTTGCTTCTCTTGACGGAAAAAACCAAAACTTTTCGAAAAAATTGCAGCAAAGGTCCCTAAGTATTATGAAATGTGATCAAGGTCCTACAATCAAATCCTGATACCTCCATCTAGGGATGGCAAAAAAGCTCACCGGCTCGAGCGGCTCGGGCTCGCCCGAAAAAAGCCCAAGTTGAGCCCGGCTCGGGCTTGATGGAACCGAGCATAGGCTAGGGCCGAGCCCCATTTTGGGGGGTCGGTCCGAGTCGGGCTGGCCCGTAATTAATAAAAAAAATTTAAATTAATTAAAAAAAATTTAAAATCTGCATACAGGCAACTAAGGAAGAAAAAAAATAAAACATCAAGCTGGTTCAGCCCGCTAAGGCTCGGGTTGAGCCTTTTTTTTTTTTGCCGGGCTCGGCTCGGGCCCGAAAAAAGCTAGGCCAAAAAAGCTCGATCCGAACCCGAGCTTTTTTTTTGGGCTCAACTCGGCTCGTTAACATAGTTACCTCCATCCCGTTGTAGAACATGCCCTTCTGGATGGAATCTGTCCAAATAGAGGCTGAATTCACATGTGCCATGCACAAGTCCCGCTTTTTCAAGGGTAATCCCCCCTCCACTATCTAGAAAATTTTCCCAAATCCTTTTTGCCCTCGAACAAGGCACTTGGCACATGTGAATTTCACACCCATTAATCTGGACGGATTCCATCGATATGAAGTTGGGTTGCAATAATGACGCAACGCGAAATAAGAAATTCAAACAAAACTTCTAAGAACACATTTTTTTGAATCTATCAAATTATGAAAAAATAAATTCACGAAATTTTATTAATGTAAGATAATAAAAAATGATGAATTAACCATTTATTTATATGGGTTTACACGAAAACATAGTTTAAACAAACTAAAATGGCAAAGAATTCGAAATAAATTAAATGACAAAAATAGCACTAAACTTTAAAANAATTCGAAATAAATTAAATGACAAAAATAGCACTAAACTTTAAAAGCAGTTTTTAACTTCTAAACGGACTCGGATGGCCAAAATCCTTCTTATGTCAAAGCATAGCAATGAGTTCTACTTATCTCGTCGTTCTCTTTTTTCGAAATGGTGTATGAGCCCAAACCAGAGCTCGGACGCTACATCTGCACTATTGCGTTTTTCCCTTTTCGATCAAATTCTTTTTCAATCCATTCAGCCATCTGTTTTACATCAAATAAGTTTGAAACGCTGAGAATGGCAATTTCCAAAATTGAATGTTAGAGCCCAATAACATTCGACTAAGATTGGAAACTTTCTCAGTAATTGTCAAATTGGACACTTCATAAGTCACAATTACGAATATAGTTTACTTAAATACATTTAAGAGGAATTTTATTTGTTGAAATGCTTTTGGAATCCTATTCGAAGCCTATTTCGCAAATTCTAGTTGAATTTATATTTGGAAGCCCAATTGAAAGTTAAATTTTGTATTGGACTACAAGAGATCAAAATATGAACCAATGAGGACTTTTTAACGCAATTATACTCGCTTGGAGCTCGGGCGTCCAAAACAGTGAAGCGGCACCCCATCAGCACTTGAGCGCTATATTCATCCGGCCAAGCCGCTTTCGTATTTTACATGTTCTGAGCATATCTTTTCATTTATAACTCTATTTTTAAGGTTTGAAACATCTCCTATGTATACTTAGCTCTTCATTACATTATAGATTAAAGCAAAATAAAAAACATAAAATCATTATAATTATTTCTCCATATTTTAATGAAAATTAAATTCTTTTGCTAATTCTTTTGTTATTAAGTTTGTGATCAATTACTTCATATTGTGTGATATTATTTTCTCGCCTATTATTACAACAAATTGGTATCGGAACTGTCCAGTATTTTCTTTGTTGTTTATAACATTATTGGAAAAAAAAAAAAAACTAACGTGCATAGGAGGGACTTGTTAAAGACAAGAAAAAAATAAGATAAATGTATAAGCTTCAATAATTTACTTAAAACTAACTTATACTTCCATTGCCTTCTTTCATTCATATAAGTAAGAAATACGTTGTTTTTTCTACAATAGAAGTCTATCCATTTCAAAGTCGTTGAATTCAGGTAATTGCTTCATCCACCTTCAGCTAACGAAAATGATTTTCAATTAGTCAAACAATTTAATATTATCTAAAGTCAACCTTTTACCCTCAGCTTGCTTGCCTTACATGGTTTACCTTTTCTATGATTACCAACTGTTTTAGAACAGCACTAATTTTCGATTTACCTAATTCACGACATATAAACGAGGTTAATAAATGATATAATCATATATAACTTTGAAATTGGGACACGTACACTTATCCAAATTCTAGAAGAAAATACATTATTAAAGATAATTACATTTCGTCATCTGTTCCCTACTAGGGTTTCATAAGACATGATAATTTTAATCTCTTTGACCATAAAGTTAATTATTTTATTTAGGAATAGATTAGATGCAAGGTGGCATGTTTGGAGAAATAACCCTTGCATGAACCAACACGAGCAATCTTATGAAGTTTAGTAATTCACAAGTACCGAAAACTAGAGAAAACAAAACATTATTTCGAATTAGGATCGGCCTCAATAATATTTAAAGCATTAATAATATGGATCCCTCGTCATCTATGTGGGGCCTTAGGCTGCCTATATATATATAGTCAGGACGGGCATGTAATTCGAACAAAATAACAAGTATCTTGCTGCTTTCGTTAGCAGTAAACTTTAATTTATTATTATACATTGAGTAATTGGTCATAATGAATTGAAATTTTGGATTTGCTTGCGCAATAGACTTGTTCGAGTAATTTATTTGCTTACATCAGGTACAAATTATGGCCTCTTGCGTGAATTGTTGCATGGCCATAGTTTAAGTAAATATGTCATTAAATTAAGGCATAGTCCAAAGCCGTTGAGGCAGCTATAGGCACGTTGCAACACAACATTAACCACCGGTCCGTGGTCTATTTTTGGTCCGATGTATCAAGATTAATTTTTTATGGAGACCCGACTTGGTGATAGCGTGCTCTTCCACACAACCTATCTTAAAGTTGTCAGTTGCTCTAGCCCTTTTGTCGAATATGACATCTGATGGACACTCCAGTTGCTGTCAGAACGTTTTGAAATTGGAATTTGTTGTTGGAATAGGAGTCCCGATTCAACAAAAGATGAATTGGGCCAGTATATTTTCTTTTGGAAAAAAAAAATCATAATTCAGATGTATGGTTTACATGATTTACACCAATTTAAAAATTAGGTAGATAATTTAACAATTCAAAACTCATGCATTAAGTAATTAATTAAAAATATTTATTAATTAGATCACAATTATACAATTAATGGTTACAGATACATAGTTATAGGTCACAATTTATTTATTAGTCACATATTATCAAATTAATTAGTCACTAATGATTTCGAGGTCACAAATTCAAAAAATTATAGGTCACAGTTAATTTCATTTGTCACATATTTTCAAATTTGTTAGTCACGGATTATTTTTCAGTCACATATTATCAAATTTTTAGGTTATAGTTAAATACATGGTCACAAATAACCAAATACTTGGTCACATACCATTGGCACTACCACTTCAACTACTTTTGACCACCTTTACCTCGTAGCTGCCATCACCACCATGGCCACCAACATCACCACCACCATCACCGCATCCAACCACACACTATCACCACCACCACCACCAACTAGATTTGAACCCACCACACACCACATATGCACCACCCTGTCGCCACCACTGCACCCACAGCACCACCCAACAAAAAAAAACCACGTCACACCACAACCACCACCCAACAAAAAACCCAAACCCGTCATCGCCACCACACCCCCACCCGTTACGATGCCACCACCACCACAACTCCACTCTGCCACTGCACACACACCCATAGCACCCGTCGCGATGCTGGCCACGACCACCACCATCACCCGACAGTCCGCACGAACTAAGCGTCGCAGCTCAGATCAAAGACCCTCAGCGACTATCTGGGCTTTCTGGCTGCTGCGGCGTCTTCACATGAGAGAAACAGAGCACCACAGTAGCGGTGGTGACGCCTTCACAGCGGTGATAGCGTCTTCACAGTGACGGCGATGGTGGTTGTGTTTTCGTGAAAGGAGAGGAAATGAGAGTGAGAGAGAGAGAGAGAGAGAGAGAGAGAGAGAGAGAGAGAGAGATGTATATAATTTTGTATATATTTGATTTTTAACACCGCCACCACACCCCCACCCGTCGCGACGCCATCACCACAACAACTCCACTCAGCCACTGAACACACACCCACAACACACATACCCATAGCATCCGTCACGAAGCTAGCCATGACCACCACCATCACCGGACTGTACACAATCACCACAACAAAGCAAAACTAC